TCATAAGACAAGTAAACATTATATATATATATATAATGTTTACTTGTCTTATGATCATCTAGGGCTGCTTTTTTCTGCCAATTATTTCATATCTTGATGTGAAGGATGAGGAATGGTGATTCCCCTTACATTCTTTACTACCATCTACGAAATGCAATCTCTTGAACTTACTCTTCTGTAGGCGGATCAACCCAGCGTCCATGATCTTTTATTAACTGGATCAAAGCATCGGTTGCATGCTCCATTGCAATCCCACGCTTCACAACCGTCTGAAATTCAATCCAATTTTTTTAGTCGTGTTACACTACTTTTCGCTTGAATCCAAGCTGTGGTGAAGTTTCAATTTGCAGTTAAGAAACCGATGGATTAAAAGGATAGCAGAATAGCTAAAAATGTATTGGATCATTTTCTTTTCCATTTTTTTGTTTATTGTTTTTTTTCCTTTTTTGGAGACTTATAAGTCTTTAACAATGGTAAAACAATGAAAGAATACCAGAGAGAATGTTCTAAAGTAGGTAAACCTTTCATACCTTCCCAACATAGAGATCAATTTTTCCAGGAACACCACCAACATAACCAAAATCTGCATCAGCCATTTCTCCAGGACCATTGACGATGCAACCCATGATCGCAATCTAAAAGTAGGGAAGAAAGAAATTACATTGTTGATCTTGATAGTCAAAATGAAATAATGATCTTAATCGACACCATCATAAGTTTGAGAGGAAAGAGTAATTACAGAAACACCAGGCAAATGTGATGTCTTTTCTCGTATTTGTGCGCTTATTTCTTGAAGGTCAAACAAAGTTCGGCCACAAGATGGACATGAGACATATTCCTGCAACTCAAACCAGTGTTAGATACAACTCATTATTGTTATTGCCTTGTTCTGTTCTTTCCCAAAACATTAGGATTTGTACCGTCTTTGTGTTTCTCATCCTACACCCTTGTAGTAAGTTGAAAGAAGTATTCCTAAGGAAGTCCATGTCCTGGTCTGGGGCTTCTAACAAGACACCATCTCCAAGTCCATCCACAAGGAGGGCTCCTGCATTAGTGCCAGCGCCAATAACTAAGTCATCCCTGCAAGTAAAAAAATATAGTGCAAATCAAGACAACCAATATATTCAGTCCTAGTCAATAAGCAGTACAAGTTTTTACTTGCCTATGAATCCCTTCTGGAAACTGAATGTGGTGAATGACAGGGAAATTCAGAGCATTGCCACCTAGATAGTCAAATAGCCTGCAATGCATCAGGTTCAGGTTATTGGGAGACTTAAGTCTGATAATCAAGGTGCTAGGTAGCAACAGTACAGATTTGCATATATAGCTTGAATTGAGGGAGAATTTATTTCAGTAACATCTGATTGCCTCCTGGGATATGCTTCACCACATACACCATCCTCACATCAAATCTGTGGTTTTGGATTATTGTTTGCATGCTTAAGAAATATGTTTAACAGGCCAAGTCAGTTAAAAAATTGGCCATGACAGAGGTTTTCAGAGGGAAAATCTAAACATCCATTCACCACTAAAATCCCAGAAAATATCTTTTTAACCTAAGCCACCTCAACACAAGTGCCTATTTTTTTTGTCGTTACATTATACCATGAATTTGCAACTGAATCACATATTTACAAGTCAGGAACATGTTTACCTCCTTGCTGCATGCACTCTGCTAATTTGCTCTTCACCATAGGGTAGGTTATGAAGAATCATTGTAGCATCAATATTTTTGAGGATTTCCAACTCCTCATAGGGCTCATCACCACGTACCAAGACAACCAAACGTGTACCTGCAAGATAATGGACAAATATTGTACAGGGAAAGAATAGGGTGATGTTTTCATAAAGAACTTGATATTGAAAAAATTAGAAGAAAGTGGCACCTTCTGGCAAAAGGTTGTGAACTCCAGTTGATAATTCGTTGAAATTTACCAGAACCATGGCGTTGGGCAAAGGCTTTGTTAGTTGCTCAGTCAAAGGAACTATAACCCCCATGCTTATATCTATCAATCTTTTAAGAGCTAGTCGCTGCTTATGATATAAAGAATATAGCAGATGTCATTTCAATTTTTCTGATAAAATATTTTAAGGAAAAAGGTGAGAGAGAATATACATATATATATATATTTTTTTTTTCTGAGAGGTAACAAAGCAATAGAGAAGTTTGGTTCTTACAGCATCATTATCATCTATTTGTGGGAGCTCCCTCAAAAAGATCGAGTCCACAGTAGCCAAATCCTAGATGAATGGGGTGTCAATAAAATTATGGCAGATCAAAAACATGATGTGGTGTTGCAGGAAGAATTCACCTTAAATGGCATGCCAACTGCCAACTTAGCTGCAAGTGACTTGTAGAGGAGTTCTGGAGCCTGAGAAAATCAAAAGGATTAAAAAGAGTCTTTTAATCAGGGAAGACTCAGCAGTACACTTACCTTCAACTGATCCAAGGAAACTGACATAAGAACAGAACCATCACGATGTAGGACACCCCTATAATCCACCTTCTCACCCTGTGCTCAAGAAGAGAACAAATTTTCAGTATAAAAAACATAAATAGAACAGGGCCCACATGCACCCAACTGTATTTTACCAAGAAGTTGAAGGCTGACCTCCTTTTGTATTGGCAACTGACCAGATCGGCGCTGGAAATCAAAATGGCGTCTGTGCTTTTCCGCAAAAGGTACCTGATGAAATAATTTTATTGGTTTAAGCTGAAACAGCACTCAAAATTCAAATCTTAACTGGTTAAACAACATTGTAGAATCATACCACTCCTTGCTGGAGATCAGCAGCTCTCATACCAAGGTTAGCCAACCTTCTGCAGGGATCTATTTCCTCTTCTGGAGGCTCTGTTAGTGAAACCCTGATTGTATCACCTAGACCATCCTGCATACAACAGAGCAGCTTATGACTATGAACTTTGACAAGAAAATCTGGATAGAAGGGAAAGAGATCCATATGCAGATGCATGAAGTGCATTTCTTTTGCTGATCAAAAAATAAATAAATAAATAAAATAGACACACTAACGAACATATTCTTCTACCCAGAGTCCCATCATCTCAATCACAAGACACAAACCCTGACACTGTACATGAATTTGCCAACATAAGAGCATTATAAGCGTATTAATTATTGACGAGAGATGATGACTTACCTAATGCACTAGTACAATCACAGCAACAGAAGAACACATTACAGTACAACAGATGAAACTTTTAAAGATTGATGATAGCTCTTTTACCAGGAAAAAGGGGGATAATTCATCGTGTTAAATATGCATTTAAGGTAATGAAGTTACCTGAAGAAGGGTCCCAATTCCAATGGCAGATTTCATCCTCCCATCTTCACCTTCTCCGGCTTCAGTGACTCCCAAGTGTAATGGATAATCCCAGCCATGTACATACATTTCAGCAACAAGCAGACGGTATGCCTGGACCATGACAACTGGATTGCTGGCTTTCATTGAAAATACAAAATTGTGGAAATCCAACTTCCTACATATCCTTGCAAACTCGAATGCAGATTCAACCTGCTCTACAAATGGCCATTAATAGGATGTACTGAATGTTTGGGAACAAAAAACAAGCTTAAAGCTCTTAGGCAAATAGAAGAAAAAGCTGCTTACCATTCCTCTAGGAGAATCACCATAGTAGCTCATTATTCTATCTGAAAGGCTCCCATGGTTTGTGCCAATACGCATAGCTCTTCCATACTTCTTACATTTCTCAACCAATGGAGTAAATACCTACAGTGTTTCACCAAAAAAAAAAAACCCGAATAAACACTTGTGCTACATGAGACAGCAGTGGCAAGCAGGTAAAACAAGTTCCCTTAAATATTTGTGCCCTCCCTGCAAACATACATGATTGGTTGCAGATATCATGTATAAAAATGTAAGACTATAGTACAATATGCAGCTTTTTGCAGATTTGTTATATGATAAGAATGAGAAGAATTCAGCAGATGAAGATCTCAATTACTTCCTATTTTACCCCCTTATTCTGTTTTCTTTAAGTTATCTCTTCTCCCTGATCTCCACATGATACATGAACATGCATTAAACTTTTTACCCCAAAAAATTAGGATTACAAGCAGGCTAGAAGAAGCAGAATTCACATGAATCCAGATGGAATGGTGCATGATTGTAATCTAAAAGATTTCAAGTGACCATATATTTACAGATTATAGAGTAGTGGTTCTGACCTCCTCAATATGTGCCAGTTCTTTCTGATACTCCTCCTCAGTGTACTCTATCGTCTCAAACTGAGCCCGCCTATCAGCTGGGGTTAACAGCTTTGTGAATTTAGAATCATATGTAGCATATCTAGAAAGAAAATAAAAGTCAACTGCTTACCAAAATTTCCTGGGTTCACACGAATTTTGTCGAAGCACTCAGCAACTCTCAAAGCTACTGAAGGAGCAAAATGAATATCCGCCACCAGAGGTATATTATAACTGCACTAATAGAAAGTAACTTAAATGGTAACACCATATTAAAAATGCAACCTAATTTTCAAAAATGTGTACATTAATCAGGCCTACTTTTTCTGTACAAGAGAATTCTTGATTTCAAAACATGCATCCGCTTCTTTCTTTCCTTGAACAGTTATTCGCACAATATCTGCTCCCCTGTCTGCAATTCTCATTACCTACCAACAGAATGGCAGTTGTCGTATTCACCATAAATGAACTGATCATCTAGATTATATTTCCAGAAAATCTAAAATTTGTAAGAGGCATCAATTTTGGGACCAAAAGAGAACTGCTATTCTATGCCCAGGATTCATATTTGCAACAATTTCAACTGATGAAACCCAACTCCATTTATTGGTCCAACAAGTCATACATGGCTCTATTAGTCAATACTTTAGTCCAAAATTTTAATTGAAAAACATCACACAACATCATAAGCATTTCTACCAGATCACCCATAGAAACAAAAGCACCATATTATCCTCACCCAAATCATAGTTTCACATAAATCAGATATATATATAAACCCAACAACATTAGAAATGCAGGAGAAGCAATGTATACCAACTGTTTGTACAACAGAACTTAAGCCAAAGCTAAAAACCTGTTCAACTGTTGCAGCAACATCTTTAGTATCAGATGTGGTCATAGTTTGAATCCTTATAGGATGCTCACTACCAAGAGCCACATTCCCAACCATTACGGTCCTCGTCTTCCTCCGGATAGTTTTGTGCATGGATTCACAATACTTTTGTCTAGGAACTACATTAAAATATCAGGAAAAAAAAATGAAACTGCATCAATCAAGACTAGTAAAGTTTCTTATTCAGCTACACATATAAACTTTAAAAGAAGCTTATTAACCCAAAACCCCATAAATTATAATACCTAGTAGAGGGCTCCCTTCTGAAGCAGACTGAAGTTGAGCAATATCAGGACCAGGACTAGAATTCCGAATCACGGAAAATTTTCTTCTGGGGTACTTGGTTTTCTTCAAATCACAAACTCTCACAAAATCCACACTTCTCACTGACCTTAAGCTCGAATCCCCGCCCTTCAAACCCGGGAATGACGCCGCCGGTACAGTTCCAGAAGCCATTTTTCACAGAGCAGCAGCCTAAACCTTCAAAAATCAAGAATACAAAAAACGGAAAATGAAAATCAATCAACGCCATTGATCGAATATTCTGAAGCTTTTCTATGTATAGAATCAGGTACTTGGTTCACAAAATCCATGAATCAAAAATCTAAACGGAGTGAAATTGACATTTTGGTTTTGGTTTACCTTGAGCAACGATTTAACACCGCCGAAGTGAGCCCTGAAGAAAGACGAAAATGGTTGGGAGGGCGCGGTTTGCAATTATTATTGCCTAACTTTCGTTTAGCGCCGAAACAACTTATAGGCATAGGACCTAAAATCAGACAACTACGAGATTTTAAGGGGGCGTTTGGTTTACTTTTTTTTTTTTCTTGTGAAACATTGCTTTCAAATTATGTAAAGATATTTTTGTTATATATATATATATATCAAAATTATAATAAATAATCATAAAAAATAATATTTTTAGTTTTCTGTAATTATTTTCTTTTCTTAAGTTCTTTCGTCTTTTTTTTTTTTTTTTTCAAATATGAGTTTCATTTAATAACTTTCACTCTTAAGTCATTTTATCAAATTTTTTATATTAATTCCTTACTAAATATGAAAAATATCTAACAAAATTTTATTAGGAAATTTACCAATTTTTTAACTTTCCGTATTTACTTTACGGTTAAATGCTAATTTTGGTCCCTCAACTTTATAGAGTTGCACATTTTTGATCCCTCAACAAATTTTTACACTTTTTTTATCCCCAAACTCTAAAAATTGCACAATTTTAATCCTTCCGTCAGTTAAGTGACACTTGATAGTTAAATATTCCAGAATGACACTTTTTAATGATGTGGCAATGACAACTCATACAATTAGCTTATGTGGAGTATGCCAAGTCAGACTTTATTGTCTTTCTTAATCTTTTTCAATTCTTTAAATATAAAATTACTAAAATGCCCTTAATCTATTCTTCTTTCCATCGTTCTCCTCTGTGCTCTCTTTGTTCTCCTTCCCACCGCCACCGTTTTCAGCCATTTTTCCTTTGGTTGTCACTGTTTCTTTTCTCCCCTCCCTTCATCCCCTTCTTGGGCATGATTGGGTTCGTGAGGAACCCAGAGACGATCTGGGTTCGTCATGAACTCAGAATGCCTCTTTCATCCTCTTTCATCCTCTTTCATTCAGTACTCCATAATTAAAAGCAACATTAAATTTCAGAAGAAATGCCACTGTTTCCTCCATAAATCTACTTTACATTATTTCTATCCTCTGCAAAAAGCATGTGTGAATCACCATGAATGAGAGAGTTAGCATACATCTTCCTGCAAAAACAAGGAATTAATAATGAACATTATGGGTTTGCGACAATGAATCACCATGAATCAAACTGGATTCTAACATAAATATATTCAACAAATTTTACCTAATCTATAGCAATAAAGAAATGGGTTTGCGACGAACCCAGAAGAGATCTGGGTTTGCACCGAACCCAAAGCAGACCTCGGTTCGTGACAAACCCAGAGCAAACTTGGGTTCGCGTCGAACCCTGAACAGAGCAGACCTGGGTTCGCGACGAACCCAGACCCAGAGCAGATTTGGGTTCGCGTCGAACCTAGAGCAGACTTGGGTTCGCGTCGAACCCAAAGCAGAGCAAAGCAAACTTGGGTTCGCGACAAACCCATATCTGCTCTGGGTTCGACGCGAACCCAGAGCAAAGCAGACTTGGGTTCGCGACAAACCCAGATTTGCTCTAGGTTCATCGCGAACCCAAAGCAAATCTAGGTTCCTCATGAACCCAGTCATGGCCAAGCTAATGAGGGGGAAGGGGAGGAAAAATGGCTGGAAATGGTGGACGAACCCAGATCGTCTCTGGGTTCCTCATGAACCCAGTCATGGCCAAGCTGATGAAAGGGAAGGGGAGGAAAAATGACTGGAAATGGTGGCGGTGGCAAGATGAACAGAGAAAGCACAAAGGAGAACCATGGCAAGAACAATAAATTAAGGGCATTTTAGTAATTTAATATTTAAAGAATTGAAAAAAATTTAAAAAAATAATTAAGTCTGACTTGGCATACTCCACGTAAGCTAATTATATGAGTTGTCATTGCCACATCATTAAAAAGTGCCATTCTGGAATATTTACCTGCCACGTGTCACTTAACTGACAGAATGATTAAAATTATGCAGTTTTTAAAGTTAAGGGATCAAAAAAGTGCAAAAATTTATTGAGAGACAAAAAATGAGCATTTTATAAAGTTAAGAGACTAAATTTAGCATTTAACCTTACTTTCCTAACCATTGCTT